ATATATATATATATATATATATCATATAATGCTAAATCCTACGAGGAAATAGTTACCAATGTCCCCCTCTGTGTGCTACTACCCATTCCCATTATTTGTTCCTGCCTTTGAACAGGTAACTGCTGGCTGCTACAGAAGTGGATCCCCTTGCAGCTTGTTTTGTCCAATTTATTGTGAGTTCAAGCACCCATGGCCCTATCATATAAAATATAGTGCACATGGGCAGGCCCAATTTGACATTGGGAGAACAATAACTTTTTATAAATAGTAAATTTTATCAATTTTACCATTGGACTAAAAAGTTCTTATAAGGTATATCAAATTTCATACAATCCAAAATCTATTTGATAATTTGTTGCACCACCTTATTTTAACACATAATATATTTATTTAAAATATAAATAAGTCATTACTATTATATTGCATATTTATAGATGTCTAAATTATCTAAAATTTGGTTTACAACTATACATGATCATTAGGATAATATGACGTGATTTAATAGTTGAATTGATAATTGATAAAATTTATCATTTATAACAAGTTACTAAAGGTGTACAAATCTTGAGTGTGTGGTGTAATTAGAAATAATACTAATTAGTTCCTTCTTAATTTGTTATTGTTGATTCAGTATTCTATGGAGGTCATTGGTCAATTGCATGATTTTATATGTCAGTAGTACTCATTTTGATTGATTTTATACAGGAGTTACGTGTGAGTAATGGTTTTGGGGGCGTTGTTTTAAGGTATTTTGCTGGAAACTCTCTTTTTCTCACTATGTCTGAAGAATATGTTACATTTGCCTGAACATGGTTTATCATTTAATCTTGATATAGCATAACATGCCAACATGTTCATGATTTTTATCAACTAGTTGTATGGGCACGAATTAGAACTGTAGAAAATGTTCTTTGCTTCTGCCTCTATTTTCTGTGTAGTTGTTAACCTGTCTCCATCTGGCAATATAATTTATTTTTTGTAAAAAAAAATTTGCTGCTGCCCTAAAGCACTTTGGTTTTTCAGTTATTGTGTTTTTCTCAAACAATGGATGATCGTGATCAATCATTGAAAACAATAACTTTTTTGACTTCAAAATAGTGTTTGGCCTAGCTTTTTGTTTTGTTTTTTCTTCTCCTTATTAAAAGTAGAAGCTGATCCAAACACACTTTAAGCTGCATGTCCTAACTTCTTCTCATCCTGGATTAATTTATGTGGGGCAATTAAACAGAGATTTTAGTTTAGAATGAGTTTTTAAGTTTAAACTGTCAAACATTTTCTACTTTATTTTTGAACCTCATATTTTGAGCTTTAACTTTAAAGGGGAAAAATAGGTTGACCAAACATAGCCGTAGACTGGCGGAGGTTGATTGGACTGTAGGAAGTTGGGTTGACCTCAGAGTTTTTAGTTTAAAAATAGCTTTTAAGTAAATCTGTCAAAGAACTTCTGTTTAATCTTTAAAGTTCTAATTGATCTTCAACTTTAAAATAGCTTTCAATAAAAATAAAAAAGGTTGGGCCAAACATAGTTTTAGATGGGCAGAGGAGGTTGATTGGACTGTAGGAAACTGGGTGACACCCCATATGTTTCTTCACTTTTAATGCACTTGGAGCACTTATTAATCCCTTCATTAAAAACCTGTTCAACCATGCTATGAAATTGACAAAGCTACTTTTTAGTTTGAAAAATACACTTTGTTTTTTTTATATTTTTTTTATTATTATTTTTTTTTATGTTTAAGTATAGTACAAAAGTAATGACAGCGGAGGCAAAAATCTTCTTCTTTAGAGAAGCAAGAATTGATGCTTGCTTCTCATATAAAGCAAAAGAAGGGAAAAAAAGATCTCATAAATTTGTTGCTATACAATACTTCTATTGAAGCATTTTTTATGGAAGCAATTCTTGAAAAGGCAAAAAATTCTCTGGAAGAACAAATGGGCCATAATGCCTTATGATGTTCACCTTCTGAAACAATGCATTTTATTTTGACTGTTAAGTAGCTATATCTAATTATCTATATATTGCAAATTCCTGTGTTTTCTGAATAGTGATTAATGATTTACTGTAATTCTGTTTTGACAGTCCTGCTGGAAATCAATGTGTCTCAAGAGAAGATTACTCTATAATCCAGAAGAAAGGCTTGGCTGTTGTGGATTGTTCATGGGCACGCTTAGATGATGTGCCTTTTGTGAGGCTACGCTGCACTGCTCCTCGCCTCTGTATGAACTTAGCCAATGACAAGAATACATTCCAAATTTGTTTTATATTCGTTTTATATCTAATTATCCATGCTTGATTCAAGTACTATTGTAGTTGTCCGTGATGCTTAAAATTTCCTTCTTGTACCATTGCATTTAATCTTTTTGCCTTGTTTAAAGGTTGTCCCTATTGACATGGAATGTAATAAATTAGTTTTTTTTTTTATTGCAGTGCCATGGCTTGTAGCAGCAAATCCAGTAAATTATGGTCGGCCATGCCAGCTATCTTGTGTAGAGGCCTTATCTGCTGCTTTGACAATATGGTATACCGATGACCTTATCTGCGGCTAGTGACTAGATGATATATTTTTCTTTCTTTCTTTGGTTTGTTATTGTTTATATGGTTAAAGTTCTTTGCCGCAATCTTACAGTGGGGAAGAAAAAACTGCAAATTTGTTGCTTGGCAAGTTCAAATGGGGTCATGCTTTCATGTCTCTAAATGGGTATGATATAGTTCATTTATATAACTGTTATTCGTTTTTTTTTCACTTCTGATACATTTGGGGGCACAAGTTGAAACATCAGCATGGCATTTATTTATCTCTGCTCGTTACATAAAGGCGACAGGGTATTCAGATCCCCTCTTGGTTTCTCCAGACCCTGGAATGTGTCATTATAAAAAAATTACGCTTAATTTACATAGCTATCCTTTTGTCCTTTCTGATGCTTATTTTATCCCTTCTGAGATTAGTGTATCACTTAAGTAAGCATGAGTTGCAAATGAATACTGCAATAAATCCTGTCTTTGTATGTAACCATAGACAGATGTTTTTGTAAATAATTTGGAATATCCGTGTTATCTATCTCCTTTGTTTTGTTCTTTTGCAATCAAGAAATATTTTTTTTTCTTGTTTTCTGTTCTCGTATCCGGGTTCCTAATAACAATACTGATTGGCTATGATGATTAGGCTCAAGTTAGCATGCTATTAGCTCCCAAGTAGCCCCTAATTAGTCCCTTGATTATTCGTGTGATTAATTGTATTCTAGCTATATAATTAGGTGATCAAGTGTGTAGTCTAACACACAGTTCAATTCATCTGTTTCTATGTAGTACTCCAGTGAATTCAAGGGCTTTTCTTTGTAAGGAAATACAAATTGATTCTAATTGTTTTTATTTCCACAGCTACATAACTAACACATGATTCAATTGACTTGTTTCTCAATTGCACGAGACTTCATAGACTCTTCTATATTGACAATTTCATATTAATTAATGCAGGGAATTACTGAGGGCCTACTCCAAATGCCAAAATAGTGCTGAAATTATTTCCGTTCAAAATGCTTGGCTGTCACAAGAGAGACAGATTCCAAGGCCTCCTACTGATAGTGAAGGTATGTATTGGTTGTAAATGTAATATCTTTTTTATACGATGGTGGCCATAACTACGAAATCTCCAAGAGAGGGTAAGCTTTCGTGCGTCAATACATGAAGCCATGAATGTGTTTCTGATGCCTTTAGGTGCTGATTTTTTTTAGTATATCACAAAGAAAAGATCGCTATGAATAGAATATAGGTACCGCAATCAAATTATCAAAAAATATTATTTGGGAAATTTATCCTAATATGTTTTGTATTTTTTGCTGTTGCATGGACAGTTACGGCACAAAGTGAGGATAAAAGTCAGAACTCTTCCGATTCAGAAGATGGACTTCCACCTCTTGAAAAGAATATGAATCATTTGAGCATAGACAATAGTGACGAAGAGAGTGAGTAGATATACTTTACATCTCTAACGCGAGATATTTTCTCAAACCATGCTGCCATACTAGAAGTAATTTGAAGATTTGTGCAATGCAGAATCGCTTAGTGGCAAAATATTTTTTGGTTGGCATGAGGTGGTTCATAGTTTCCAGTCCTTTTTTATTTCTTTAATGTTATAAAATATTAAAATAAGAGAAAATATGATCGAGTGACGGCAAGTAGCAAGATTAAGAAGCTATACATAATTTTCGTGATTAGGTTCTGAATGTGTGATTCGTTCATGTTACAGCATGTTTGGATTTGCGTCGCGAAGACAAAAATAAATTAGAAGTGACGTGATTTTGTGTGCATTAGTTATAAGGCGTCAATGGCGGTTGTTTGTTTTTTATTTTAACAGTGAAAAGGAAATTATCAAGCCACAAAATACTCCCCGAGCTTGTACCTTTCTAGAAAGTATAAACCATCAGGTGCTACAATAATCTAAAATAACTCTTGAATAGTGTTTTAAGTTAGTGTCACTTTCGCTCTCTGCACTTGAGTTACTGAACAGTATATATCCTATGAATTTGTTTAAGTCTTGAAAGTGTATAAAATTGTCATATATCTTATTATTATTATTATTATTTTATAATAAATAACATTGTGATGTGTAAGTCAAAGACATTTATATCCAAAGAGGGAGGGAAAAGCGTGCCGGGGGTGGCGGAGGGTGTAAACGTCCAAAAGTAAAAGAAAAAAAAACTATTTCTAACAAAATGAGATGACAGGTATTTAAGGGGCTGAATTATTAAAAAAAAAAAAAAAAACCTTAAAAGTTAGTTTATGAATTATAATAAAAAGGCCTCAAATGTTTGTTCACGATGATTGGCTGATTGCTTCCGATCTTGGTTAGAAGCCTGGCATTGTCGAGAATGCTTCACTTTCCCCTTCGAATTTCGACAGGTCGACGTTATTGGATAATGTTTTAAAATTACATTTGGCTGTTTTATGCGGTCCTTATGTTTGGATTTTGCTTTGTCGTCCTACCAGCGTGTGTTGTGTTCTTTATTTTTCTTTAAAAGCAGTGCATGAGGTTCTTGGTCATATTTTACCATTTGAATAAAATTTATAATTTATCCTAAAACTTGTATCTTATATTGTTTTTATCTCGTTCTTTTATTTTATTTAATCATATTTTAACTATCAAATCAATTCTTATTATATATTTAGAGATGATTAACCAATTTTTTTCTTCTTTTTACTAAACGTGTTCATATATATCATCAGAAGTCTTTTTTTTTTAATCAACAAGTATATAAAAGAAACTGTGTCTGTGTATATTTTGCTTAAAAAACAAATAATAAAATATAATTAAAATTAAATATTAGAGAGCAATTAACAATGAGTATGGGTAATTTTGAGTAGTTAGTTTAGGAGTGAAATAAAAAGTATTTTAAAAGTTATAAGAATAAAATGATTGACAAAAAATATCATCTTTATTAATTATATAAATACATGTAAAAGATTTAGGATCGACTTAGCATAATATATATTAATATTTATATAAATTTTATTATGAGTTGATTTGATACTATGATAGTTAAGGTGATTTTTTTTATTAATAGAATTTGAATATTGTTGGAGAAAAACATTTTCATTTTTTATAAGACCTCTAATTAATTTTTTTTAATTTTATAAAAGCTTTACATTAGAATTTATTTTAGTCATAATAATAAATATACGAGGTCACCCTAGAAAAACTTTGGCGTCTATTATTTGAGTTAGTCTTATTGGTAAATAAAATGATAAACATGTTTTCTAACAAATTCTCACTCTGTTATTTTTTATTTTTTGTTTTTTTAGTAATTGTTTTTATATTTATTTATTATTTTTAAATTTCAAGATAACATTAATTATAATATCATCAATTATACCCTTATATCTCTCTTAATTTTTAATTAATTTATACATAAAAACTAATATATATTTATTATGAAATAAAAATAAAAAACAGTATAATAAAAAATATTAAAATTATTCTATAAAAATAAAAAATTATTATATTTCTTGATTTAAAAAAAAAAAACCCTAATCAACTGTTATAATAATATCAACTGTTATAATAATGAAATAGAAGTACTCCTTTCTTATTTTATTTATAATTGTTTTGATATTATTTTTTTTTATTATCACTTTTTTAAAATTAATAATGATTTATTATTTTTTTATTCTTGATAATTAATGTGTGTTTATTAAATAATGTGTTTATTCAATTTTTAATGTATTTATTTATTCTCTAACTATCTAAAGAGTATAATAAGAGAATAAGTAATAAATATTTTAAAAAATTAAAATATCAATTATTTTTTTAATTATTGTATATAATTTTAATTATATAAAAAAAAGGAGAGAGTAGTGTTTTGAAAAGTTTTCCTCATAACAAGCATTTAATGTCATTCCTCGACTTAAAAAAAAATGGAGCTAGAAAAGACATTTATTTAGTTATTTATATTTATGTTTATTGGGAGATGGGATGAATGAGTTATGAGTATGAGGTGCGGACAAGGTCGCAGAGTTTGCGCCAAATGAACAAAGCAAAGGCAAACGTAAACCTTTAACTTCAATTACTTCCCTCTCTCTTTCTCATTCATACCCCTAAACGCCGTCGTTTCCACCGCTTCCTCGCCACTGGTAATTCATTCTTCCCTTCTCTGCTTTTGCTCAATTATTCGATTCAATTCTCTTTTCTGCTTCTCAACTACCTTCCCTCCTTCTCCCTTCTAGGGTTTTAGTTTTCTCACAAATTCCCGCATTTTCTCTTCACGAATTGCCTCTCTAGGGTGCTAGGGTTTCGCTCATCTAATTTCTCGTGCAGGTTGGTTGGCATGAATAGCGCCTTCAACGAGCAGATACTCGCGGACAAGCTGTCCAAGCTCAACAGCACCCAGCAGTGCATTGAAAGTATCTTTTTCTTTTTGGAAATTTAATAATTTGAAAGTTCATTAATTTCTTTACTCAATATATGTGTTTCTTTTAAAATTTTTGCTTTGCTTCTTCGAATTGGGATGTGTGTGTTGGTGGGGTTTCGTAAGTGTTTCTGTATCTATTGTAAATTGTAATTGATTGAAACTAAAATACTTTCTATGTAAAAATGATTTGAGTTAGGGTTTCCACTTGAGAGTACGGAATAGGGTTACAGCATGGAAGGCGTGTTGCATTGGTGTCTCAATTTGGGGAATGGTCTCAGGTGTAATGGTAATTATGACTGGGTCCATCTTTTCAGTTTGTCTGTGATCAGTGGTCACTTTTCCAAAGTGGGAAGAAGCAAAGAACTATTGAATTGTGACTTTTTGATTACTGGCTCTGTGAAGTTCACGTGTATTGTTGCCCTATAATTGTATGTTATTGTTCTTTTTTGTGTTTGAATTGTTCTTTTGTCTTGATGAAAGTTTCAGAAAGTTGGTATAGTTCTTAGGATAAGCAAAGTAGGAAGATAAACAAAATAAACTATTGGAAAAAAACTGTGGGACAAATTCTTGTCAAGTGTGAAAGTAGAACTAAAATTGCTAAGCAATTGTAGGAGGGAGCTTTTATTTGTAAAGCACATGTTGTTTTAAAAGGAATGTAATGGACTATCCTGTCTGATCCATGCTAATAGTCATGGAGTATTATTTAAAATGCCCGTGTGTTTCAGTGTTTCATTTGTAAAGGAGATGAGAAAGTTAATGGCCATATTAATTTGATTTTATGCAATGAGTGTAATTCTGCATCGTTGCATTTTTGGTTTATATTAATTAAGCTTACAATTTTGCTTCAGCTTTGGTAAGTTCTAGGAAATCTGTCCCATTTTAGACCTATGAAGGAATTGCATCTTAAGCTTTTTATTGGCAACCATCATCTTCTTGCATGCATTTTTTATGTATTTTATTTTACTTTTTCCTTCTTTCTCTTTTTATATTTGGGACCTGCGGTGACACCTACTATTGATCAGAAGTTCGGAACAATGTCCACCTTGAAAAGGGTTTGTTTAATCCAGTGGAAGAAACCCTAGATTTTGGAGAACTTATTTACCTTTGTATTACTATAAGAAATCTATAGTTTAACTAAGTCAGTTGTTTGATGCATTGGAGTTTAGTTGTCTGAGTTTTAATCTGAACTTGTTAGGGCTTGGTTGATGTAACTTGGAGTGTGAGTTTCTGAATTAGTATTTTTGCATGAATTTTGTCTTAGTTTGAAATTGGTTTAATTTTACTGCCTTGTATTTAGTTGATCTTTTGAGGTGCTTGAATTGGTTGTTGATGCCATATACTTTGTTATCTTTAATCTTTTAAATAGCTTTATCACATTGGTGTATATTTCACCGGAGTGAAGCAGAGCTGGTTGTGGGAACATGGAGTAAACAATTTCAGAATTCAGAGAAGGTTCAGCGAGTCCCCCTTCTGTACCTTGCAAATGATATCCTGCAGAACAGCAAACGTAACGGAAATGAATTTGTGACTGAGTTTTGGAAGGTTCTTCCCACAGCACTTAAGGATGTTCTTGAGAAAGGTGATGATCAAGAAAAGCGTGCAGTATTTAGACTGGTAAGCCCCCTTTATTATGGTTTGAAGTGAGTAAGTGAATACAACTATTTAAATCATTCTTTAAAAAGTGGGAAAAGAAAGTTTATGTGGATGGTTTGGGATTTGGATATGAAGTTTTTGCAAACTTAATTCTTCATGCATGGGCGGATACTTCAGTTTGGCATATAAATATTGAGAAATTATTTACATACCATGATATTGATCTCAATATAGGAAGTTTAATCTATTTAACTTGGTGCTTACCTAACTTTAGGTTGATATATGGGAGGAAAGGAGAGTGTTTGGATCTCAGGCTAAGAACCTTAAAAATGTAATACTTGGAGAAGAAGCACCTCCACAGTTGGAATTCAACAAAAAGAGATCCCGTTCTGTTAGAATTGTGAAAAAGGATTCACGTTCCATTAAAACGGTGAGACTGAGGGCCTTTGCAGCTCTCCCCTTCCCTATTTGTTACTCCAACATTTTTATGCGTTTAGATTACTACATCCTTCAAAGTAGTTTGTCATTGTTCTTGCATAGCTAACTGTTGTGAATTTTATGTAATTCAGAAATTGTCCATTGGAGGTACTGCAGAAAAAATAGTTTCAGCCTTTCATACAGTGCTGAATGAACATTCCAATGAAGATGCAGAGATGAGTAAATGCAAGTCAGCTGTTCATCGTGTGAGGAAGATGGAGAAAAATGTTGATATTGCATGTGCTATTGGTAAGCTATTTATTATATAATGAAATTAACACCCCAGTTTTTGAAGCTAGGATTCTTATTCTTTCTTTTACAGTAAAGGACCCTAAGCGGAAAACTTTGGCTAAGGAACTAGTGGAGGAAGAAAATATTTTGAAACAATGCATTGATAATCTCAAATTAGTTGAAGCAAGTAGAGCGGCTCTTGTAACTCAGTTAAAAGAAGCTTTGCATGAACAGGCAAGTTACTATGTCCATGTGCTCAATAGGATTTTATATTTCGAATTCTGCAGTTATTAGGTTTATGGTTGAAATCTTGAGTTCTAACACCTCTTCTTCCAATTCTCTGTGCCTTTATGTTATCAGGAATCTGAGCTGGAGAATGTTCGTACTCAGATTCAGGTATGTTTTATCATGGTTATTTTCATCAGAAGACTCCTATTTTTGTGTAGTTTCTTATGAAATGTAAATGTGATATATTTTTTTCATTATATAGGTTTTCCATCATTTAATTACCTCTCTTGTATATATCTCTTCCTATATCTGTAATAGGTAATTAGACAATTATTATGGTAAAGTCAATAAAGCCCTCATAAATAGTGTTCACTGTTGTAAAGCATTAACTGGATGAATTTTTGGTGGGAGGGGTATCAACATTTAATGTTTGACCGTGTCTGGAACAAGATTGTTTCCAAAGGAGAATACACATGGTATTTTTTTTTTAATTGAATAAATTGACCAGCCTTCCATAAGGTGTACATAAATACACAAACCCCTGACACTCAGAAAAATATTATACCAAGGCCTTCCTGAGTTGATTTTAAGGACTTTATATTTATGAAGGGCTTAAATATGTTTTTGCTCCTATAAAATTTCAGATTTCTGGTTTTAGTCGATATAATTTTTTTGCTCATTTTTAGTCCCTCATACTGAAATTAATGACAGAAAGAAACTAAATGAGATTATAAATGGACTATGCTTTTTTTTATAAGAACTAAAACCTGAAATCTAAAATTTTGTTAGGACCAGAAAAGTATTTAATCCTTTTTGAAACTAGAGTGTATGCATACCATTTTGTAAATCACAAAGGCATTCTATGCAATAAACTCAATCTTGAAATAGAAAAACCAAGGTAGTTAAAATCGAGATTCTAGTTAGATTTGGGAAAGAATCTCAGAATTGTAAATTGTGGAATTGTAACACAAAACATTAGATTCTACTAGATTTCATAAAATCCAAATATATGCATCTAACAGTATAAATTGAAGGGGGAAAAAAGCATTATAACTCATGGAATACTTAATTAAGCTTAAATTCATAACTTGAAATGACCAACGAAACATCTTAAAATACTGCACAGTAGCAAATCAACTTAAAACATTTCGTTTAGACCCATAACTAAGACATCAATAAAGAACAAAACAGCCAGATAACCAAGTTGGACTGTGGGAAAGAGAAACTGCAGCGGGAGCAAAACAGATAAAGAACAAAAGAGTGGGAAAGAATCTCCAGACGCGATGGAGGATGGAAATGAATAAGGCATGGGCAGTTTCGGGGAAGGCTGGGATGGTGCGGGTTTAGCCGTTTAGGTCAGGATTTGTCGGGCTTAGGTTTTTTGAAGCCCAAAACACAAAAAAGAAAAGGCATCCAAATGTGAGAAAACGACATGAAAACGTGGCCAACGAACTTAGAAAAAATGGCAAGTCCACCGATCCTATGATCCTCTGTGACTATTTTATGATCCTACGCAGATAACGATTCTGATCACAGACGAACTCGCCCATCCATGACAGAAGCTTAGAATCGATGCAACTCGCAATTTTGTCTATCATGGAAAAGACTTTGTTGCACTATCTCACAAATATAAAATAACCAAGTTCCTTTTAAGCATTAAATGTCATTATACGTTGTTGATAATGCTTTCATTCTAAAACTTTCATATGCTTTTACTGCTAATGATGCTAACAAATTTGAATTTTGTGCTGATATATCTCGTGAATGGTATGTAGGTAGCGCAAGCACAAGTAGAAGAGGCCAGCTACATGCGGAAGCGACTTGATGATGAAGATTCTTCATATAAAGCATCAACTGCAACGGCTTCAGTTACTGATGTGAATACAAAATCAGAAGCAGCAAATAAGAAGTCAGCTGCAGCAATTGCAGCTGAGGTTGCGGATAAGCTAGCAGCTTCTTCATCATCTCAGTTAATCATGACTTCTGTTCTCTCAACATTTGCAGCGGAAGAGGCAAAAAATGCTTGTCTAACTTCCGAGTCCATGTCAAAACCTGAGAAGTCAACACCTGTATCAGATCCAAATGCTTTTATGTCTGCACCACAGTTAATTGCTACACCAAATCATTCATATCCTTCGGTTTTAGTACCTCAACCCACCTTACAGAATCCAGCCGCTGCATCACAGGGTCAATATCAAATGCTTTGTAATTCGTCCTCCCAGCATTATTTGCAATCAACAGGAGGGGTCATTTCTCCATATGGTTATGGTAGCGTCCCACCGTTACCACTGGGACCACCCCCACCCCATATGGTGGGCCCAATGGTGCCTCTGACACATCAGACGCTGCAAATAACTCAGCAGCAGCCAGCACCTATAACTCAGCAACAGCCAGTAAAAATGACGCAGCAAGCCCCAGGACCTCCTAGTTTTAGACCACTTCAACCACCAGGAATGGTGTACTATGGTAATCATCAGCATTCTTTATGAGACTTGCAGTAATTAGAATTTAATCAAATTGACATGTATGAAAGAAGCAAAATCTGAATTTTATGTTTAGCAAATGACATGCTCACTGGGGTTGACTTGAGAAATAAGTGGAAGCCCAGACTTTGGTCCCTGGGATGTGCAAGGAAAGTATCAAACCTCAAGATTCTAAATGCTTTAAACAAATTCAATTGAGACTGAGGGAGCATTGAGTTCTCATGAGCAAGGTAGATTTCATGCGAGAGATTTTGAAAGAATTTTTTGTGATGATAATGTACTTGTATTGTATATACTTGGCTAATCAAATAATTATTGGATTATGAGTGTGTTTGTTAAGACGTTTCATTAGCTTATAAGTTTTTTTTATTAACTTATAAGTTAGTTTAACTAAAATAAGTTTGCTTGATACAAGAGTTTGTATATATATATATATATCAGAAAAGT